GCCTGCGCGGAGTGCAGCCGCGCCTGCTTCCCAGCCGCTAGCGTTCGAGACCCCGGGGGCTGAGAGTGTCGAGAAGGGCTTTTTTCCTCAGTTGCAGGTGGCTGGGAATGATGCGTGGCTGATGGGTGGGCTGTTGGAAGGAGAGAGTGGGAATGTACCCTGAGCAGGAGGAGCCAGGATAGGGAGCACCCCAGCCTTGAAAGCATGGGCAGTGCTGACTCTTAATCCAGGCAGGCTATCTCCAGAAATGCTTGTGTGCTTATTAAGGCATCTGTTGTGGTGCTTCACCAGGTTTTGCTATGAGCTGAGCCCTCTTTGAGTGCTGGTTTGTGTTGGCTAATGAGCTGTTTTGCCTTAAATGGTTAGTGTGGTGCAGAGCTTCCCCAAAATTGCTCTGGCACTGGGCACAGTTGTGTTTCTCCTTTTGGAAGGATTGCAGAACAGTGTGCTCATTTCAGGATGATTGGGGGGGGGGAATGTCCAGTAATAGAAGAAATATGTTCTCTTTGTTGCCCTCAAACTTGGAGGCCCCTGTCATCCTGTCAGTGGCATTGCCAGGGCCATATCTAGCTACCAGGCTGCTGGATGCATGTCCCCCAGTGCAATTTCATGCTGGGTGGTCAGCTGTGTGAGTTGGACTGGGTGTCAGGCCAAGCAGATGCTGCCAGAGGTTAAGCTATCTGGTTTTAGAGCAGTTGCACACACTCTTCTTGCCTTAAGTGATGAAGTTGTCTCTATTTGCTATTGTATGAGAGTGCCTGGGTCAGGCCTGAGCTGGTGTAAATTGATGCAGTGTCACTAGTACATGCATGTCTCATCCCAGGTGTCCCACTTGGATGTGAAAGTATGAAGTAGGAAAGCTCATCAGTTCACAGTACATTTTTTTTTTTGTGGGCGATGAAGACAAACTGCCTTTTCCTAGACTGGATCCATGATAACAATTTTGAAAGCTTCTCAGAATAAACCTCTAAAGAAAGCCCAGAGAATGACTGCACCAACCCCCTGTTCTTGTAGGTGCTGGCAAGCAACACTGCTGTAACTTTAGAATAAAGCAGAGTAAGCACCACACTCTAGTTTGAGGAGTCAAAATCTAGAGGGAAACGGGAAATGAAACTTGCTGAAAGAACTGCAGTAATAGGAAGAGGCTGGACGTGGGCAGGTTTTTTTTTTCACATAAAAGGACTCACCTCTGCAATAACAGTTTTTGTTTGGGAGCTGTTGCTCAGGCTTTGACCTGAGGCTGCAGGTCTGGGCGGTCCAGGGCCAGCTCACCTGAAGGTGGCTGTCTCCTGTGAGCTGCTTGTGGAAACGATGCCTGTTTCCCAGCCTCCACCAAGGGAGCCATAGGTTGCCTCAAACTGGACCATCTCCATCACCTTTAGCTTAGCAGAAAAGCTAGGTGTGAGGCTGATATGAATAATAAACTGCTCTTTCTCATAAAGATACCCATAAATGTGTAAAAGTATGTGTTAGTGGGAAGATGAGAGGAAGGTTAGCGCAGTGAGCACTGCCAGAGAGGTCTTACAGACCTTCCTTAGCAATTCCAAGCATGACTTGATCTGGCAAAGCAACACCTTTCCTGTGCACCTTGGGAAAGGAAAACTTAAAAGACGTGAGAGAGCTGAACTAAGGTGGTCAGACCTGGAAAGAAGCAGCACTTGAGTATCATAAAACAGCTCCCGTACCGAGAGGGTTATGCAAGAAATACCTGTTTCAGAAAAAGCTTTTGATAAGCATTTATCCTTAAGAGCTTGTCAGAACAAGGCCATATGCATATGCAGAGGCTTTTTCTGACCTAGACAAGGAAAGAGAGGACAAAAGCAGTGAAGGTTTATGGTACGAGCTACTTAAACTTACATTTTTGTCTTCAAATTCTATAATTCCTGTGGCTGAAAAACATTTTGGGGCTATACTTCTGGCCTTGTTTAGCATAACTACCATGTTAATACATAAAAAGTTTAGTGTTCTGACATCCAGGCTCCCCTCTAACACTGGTGTGAGAGGAGACCTGGCCTGTGCAACCTGTGAGTTGCTCATGCTTCGGTTTATTGCAAAGCTCAGTGTATATAGGCAGCCCAGGTGTCCACTCTGCCATGGTGGTCACCTCTGCTTTCTACCAAGTAGCTCTCATTTCTATCAATTAAAATCCTTCTACTGGTCTGTCTTATCTTGAACTTTCTGTTGAACACATGTCTTGTAGGAACAGCCACTTTTCCACCCTCAGGGTGAAGGTTGTTTTCAGCTGTGGATCTCAGCTGCTTTACACCACCAAAGAACCCAGCCTGTGCCCAGGTTGCACTGTAACTGATGGCCAGATGCAGTGAGCAGATGCTGGTCTGCTGCTCTCACTGGCTTCAGGAGAAATTGTGTCTGAGGGCAGAATTTTGGCTGTGAGCCTTGAGGTGAAGAGCTGGTCTACAGAACTGGCTGCTTGCCTGGGTGGTTTCCAGGCAGACATTGCATTTTTATTGTCTTGGATATTCTACTGTGGAGGTCAGTTGAGAAAGCAGAATGGGGTTGTCACTTGGCAGAAGTAGAGAAGTCTAGACAAAAAATGAGTGTGATGATATGCTGGATATAATGCTGTTGGTCCAGCACCTGGGGTAGCATCTAACTGTGCTAATCCAGAGGTAATGGAAGGCAATTTCTGCCAAGCTCTCTTTTGTTTCCCAGGCTGTACTGACCTTACTTTTGGCAGATAGCCACTTCTGAGCTCCGCCCAGCCACACCAGCCATCATGGAGAGCAACGCAATCAGACGTGGAGGAGGAGCAATACCTCCCCACTGCTACACAGCTGGGCTCAAGGGCACAGAGGACTACAGAAAAATTCAGGCAAAGGGTGCAGGCTGAACCTGCAAGGAGTAAGGACAGGCATTTCAGCCACAGAACAGATTTGTCCTATAGTGGGGTAAAGAGAAGAGCCTGGGTAAGGAGACGATTTTTTAGACCAGCCGCAAACTTCCTCATTCCTGTGACTTGCTGAAATGTCAGGAAGGTGCGGGGAGGTGGCATGGCCAGTTGTGCAATAGCGCTGATGGGTCTTGGCACCTGGGAACAGAGAAGGGGTTGTATTTTTAGCATCAAGGGGCAATGGAAGTGGCTAGTCCTAGTGAAAGGAAAGAATGCATTTCTTTGTTCCTTCTGCTCTTCTAGGGTAAAGAGGAGAGGTGTCTTCTCTGTTTTCTGGGAAGAGCTTGAATTTCTCCTTGCCTGCCCCAGGACCTCTGGCAACAACCTCTTTACCCTCTCGAGGCTGGGAGGGCAGAATCATCCCCTGCACCTGCTGGGTCTCTGCAAGGTCTCTGGTGTGTGCAGAATCACACTTTTGGTTGCTCTGATTGTTTTCCCGTGTGGTATTTCCAGCCCCGCTGCTCCCAGAAGCACTGGTGAGGGGTGCAGAGTGGGGACCTGACAGGGAAGGCTGATTTGCAGGAGACTTTGGGGTGCTGGGTTTGTGTTTCATTCCTCTGGTTTGGGCAGTGACAAGGTGCCATAAAGCCATCAGTAGTACGTCGGTTTATAGTTTAAACATTTCACTGGATACACTTCGTTACCAGTGAAACAGCTACGCTGAGATCCCCTGTACACAGCTCATGATGCAGTTTTAAAGCCCCTGGTCTTCTCCATAGCCATCAAAAGTGCTAAAACAGTTTCTCCAGGTGTCTAGGCTGTCAGTTTCTTCTACCATCACACCTGCACGTTAGGCTGCTAGCTGCATCTCTTCCTTTCCCATTTCCAGTGGAGAGCTAATACAACTTTCCTGTGCTTAAAAGCTGTGATGGGGATGTTCAAAGGTGTTGGTTCTTCATTCAGTGCCCCTCTCAGAGAGGATGAGGCCTGTGCCTGCAGGTTGGTAGGGTAGAGGTTGCCACTGGTAGTAAAGCCTTGCAAAGAACAAAGGGGAAGAAGAGTGCTGAGAAGCCTGCTGGAGCGTGCTTGGGTTTGCAGCTGCACCCTCTCCAGGAGTATTGCTGGGGGAGCAGAGGACTTGCGGTGGTGGTGAACAGCCAGGTGGCATGGCTGGAAGGGGCTGCCAGAGGTGCAGCTGGAGAGCTCAAAAGCTACCCTGCTGTTCAGGGTTGCCGCTTGTCAGTACCCAAATGTGTCTGTTCATCTGTGTCCATGTCCACGTCTGATGAGAACCAAAATCCCAGCAGGCATCAAGCAGATGGAAGACAACTTCCTTTCGCTGTGTGACGCATCTCT